CACAAAGGAGCATTTTCGTCATATTTTACTTTATTATTTCCGTAAAGGAAAAAACGCGGAGCAGGTTGCTAAAAAGTTACGAGATGTGTATGGTGATGAAGCCTTAAAAGGAAGACAGTGTCAAAATTGGTTTCGCAAATTCCGTTCTGGAGATTTTTCACTTAAAGATGAGCCACGTTCAGGTCGGCCAAATGAAGTTGATGATGACCAAATCAAAGCATTAATCGAATTGGATCGTCATGTAACTGAGCGTGAGATAGGAGAGAAGTTAAATATACCAAAATCAACCGTTCATTATCACATAAAAAGTCTTGGACTGGTGAAAAAGCTTGATATTTGGGTACCACATGTATTGAAAGAAATTCATTTAACACACCGAATCAACGCTTGTGATATGCACCTTAAACGCAATGAATTCGATCCGTTTTTAAAACGAATCATAACTGGAGATGAAAAATGGATTGTTTACAACAACGTTAGTCGAAAACGATCATGGTCCAAGCATGGTGAACCAGCTCAAACCACTTCAAAGGCTGATATCCACCAAAAGAAGGTTATGCTGTCTGTTTGGTGGGATTGGAAGGGTGTCGTATATTTTGAGCTGCTTCCAAGGAACCAAACGATTAATTCGGATGTTTACTGTCAACAATTGGACAAATTGAATACAGCCATCAAGGAGAAGCGACCAGAATTGGTCAATCGTAAAGGTGTCATATTCCACCAGGACAACGCTAGACCGCACACATCTTTGGTCACTCGCCAAAAACTGAGTGAGCTTGGCTGGGAACTTTTGATGCATCCACCATATAGCCCTGACCTTGCACCATCAGACTACCATTTATTTCGATCTTTGCAGAACTCCTTAAATGGTAAAACTTTCGGCAATGATGAGGCTATAAAATCGCACTTGGTTCAGTTTTTTGCAGATAAAGGCCAGCGTGGAATACTAAATTTGCCAGGAAGATGGCAAAAGGTTATCGAACAAAATGGCAATTATATATTTGATTAAATGCATTTACTTTCTTTTAAAAAATCCGCAATTACTTTTTGGGCAACCCAATACTATGAATCGCTTTTAAAAAAAGATTTCTTCAAATTTTTGTATATACCATTTCACCACTTGGAATTTTTAGACACAAGATTTGTCGCAAGCTAAAGATGAACCCTTCCTCAAAGGCTTTGTATCTGTCGAAACAAAATATGCGAAAATCGGTTTTTGTATTAAATTTTTGCAAATACCGTACTTTCGCTCAGAATTTTGATAATTTTACACGTTTTCGGCATTATTTACTCATATCGTTCGTTTTGCCTGCCATTGAATGTTAGAGTGGCCAGCTATAAAAATGTTTAGATTAACAGGAGCTTTAATTTAGAATTTTAAATATATTTGAAGTTTAAAAAAGGTTATTTCTACAAAAAACTATCCACAACATAATTTATTAAATTATTATTGATTCGAAATAAGTACAATGCAAGCATTTATAATTTTATAAGGCGTTTAATGAATACAAGTATGCTGACTTATTTTTAAGACTTTGGCCACTAACAAAATTGAATCAACTTCGTTATTAAACATTTGATTTTGCTGTTGGCGTGAACTTATTCTCTTGATTTACATATGTACATATATATTTGATTCAAATTAGAATATTTTTTTTTCAATGAAGCAAGATACAGGTATTCAGAATATCAAAGTCAAAATCTGAGGTTGTAACCCTTATCTCTCTAAAACCTTAGGTATTTATTTGTGTACTTGTCTACATGCTTGGAGTATAAATGGCGCAGGGTTATTTAAAAAGTGCCCATAAATATCGATTTAAATAATTATTTTCTCGTATTACTTCGACTGTTCAAGGAGATATATTTAAATTTTTTTATGTTGATTTGACTTCCATTAGAAAAGCGTTTTCGGTTAGTACAACTACATCTCTAAAACAGTTTGGTTAGTTGGGTTATGTTGCATACTACGAATGTTGCATGTAGAAAAAGACGCAACGCAAGATATTAAACCGGTATGCCAAAAATACTTTCTGTGTATTTTGTTTGCCACGAAAAGAGCGCTCTCTTAATTTAGTTGTCATTTCTCTCTCTCTCTCTCTCTCTTTCAATATGCTTGTAAGAGTCTTTGCATTTTGTTTTTATCATGTTCGGCGTGAGCGCGCGCCATCTTCGTGTTTTTATGCCATTACAAATATTTGAAAAACTTATACATGTGAGTTGTTATTTTATATGTATATTTTTATATATTTTCTTCTGTTGCCTTGGCTCGTCTTTTTTACACATTTTCATTATATTTAAGCATAACGCTGTGTTGTGCGAGTATAACAGCGTAAGTGTTAAAGCAAAATAATAAAATATCATATTTTAGTTTTAAAATTATTGTCGTAGTGTGCGGTCGTGTTTTGTATTGCGGAACGGGTTATTTGCTGTATAACAATTTTAAAACTTAAATTTATTTTTGTTGTGAAATATTTTTTTTATTTTAAAGTAATAAAAAAAAAGAAAGTAAAAAATTAGTTGGCCAAAAATCGATTTTTGACGTGTATTTTTCATGCGTATGAAAAATAAAAAAAAAAATATTAAAAATTAAAAAATTATAATTAAATTTTTTGCGCATGCACATACATACATAAATAATTGTGTAGATATAATTCAGCAATAAATGGATAATCAAGCTGGTAAGTATTTATAATTTTACTTAAAAATATTCTGTAAGCACCACATACATATATACATATGCACATTAACATTTGAGCAGTCATATGTATATATACATACATACATACATTTAAGTACACATGCTTACATATTGAATTCGGGTGAAATACTACATGAAAATTGTACCATTCACAATAGACGACAACATAAAGATACTAAGTAGCTCAGCGTGGCGCGGTAATGCAATAGATAACATGGATTTTTCTGCTATGAAAGTTTGTAAAGGTAACCGAGGAGTAGGGGCGCACTCAACGAGGTGGCGGTACCACAAATAAGTAATGCGCTTGTACGAATGTGTGTATGTACGCGATTACAATCGTACATTTTTATATAAATATTTAATTTAATCAATGCGCGTTTATTATAAAACATTTGCCTCTTTATACTTTCATTTTATACTTACACAAATACGTACACACACACGCACACAACACTAAATTGCCGAAGTGATTATGCGTTAAACATCAAAGTTTTATTATTAAATTTCATATTTCATTTAAAGTTCAATGTTTTTTCTTTAACATTTTATTGTCGCAGCAAAAATATTAAATAGTTTTTTTTTGTACGCTTTACCATTTGTGTAGCATCTTGCAAGTAGAAATTTTATTAATTTTTTCGTTCCTTAACTTTGCGCAGTACAGCACGAGCATGTAAAGTGTGAGTGAGCGAGTGAGCGAGTGAGCGGAGCGCAAGTGTACTAGAGAGCGACAGTAATCATATGCAAACCATTTATATGTACATTGGGGTGACTGTAATTAATTGCGAGTACGAGACCATACCCTCGCCATTAATTTGTCGTTGAAAAATTGAAGTTTCTCTGCAACTATAAAATAAAAAATTAAATTTAATAAAGACAAGAGAGTACGCTAAAAGAAAGAGTGCACTTTTTTATACTTACGTCTACGAAGTGGCATGGTGTTGATGTGTTGGTGGTGGTTTTTAGACCCGACGATTGCGCTAGTAGCTATTTGTTTGCTATTTAACTTATGAAATTTAATTAAAGTATAATAAAAAATAGTTTACTATCTTTTGTTGATATAAAATTTAATACAATTCCGACTTGCTAACACTTCTGTGGTGTTCATTAGTGTTTAGTGTGTTGTAAGTACCGAAAATGCTATGCAAAAATGAAAAATCTTTAATTATTAAAACGCTGTTCGTACACAGTGTTGCATATTTTAAAGAATTTTAAAGCACACTTAAACATCGTTGGGGTATCGAAAGTTTTCATTGTGGCTGTGTGATTGTCGATTATTAATCACAAAAGATAGTTTAAAGCGAATGCGAAAAAAAAAATTAAATAAGAATAAAAAACTCGCGTGACGCGTAAAATTAGAAGTCAAGAGAAAATAAAGCGACTAATAAAAATATCTTAAGTACTATATTGAAGAAATAAACAAATGATGTGTACGTATGTGTATTAAATTTGAGTCATAAAAATGTGAATTTGTACATATAAAATAAATGGATTACAAACTTAAATTTTCCATTGTCTGCATTTTTTGCCTGCGAATAGTGAAATTGTCGCTCTAATTATGTACTTATGTATGTATATGCGAATTTAATATAGAATGCATAAATATAAATATATATGTACGAACATATGTATGTACGTTTAAAATATGTACATATTTACATTGTACTTACATATGTACATATTTGGCTGTGTGCACTTTATCTGATTAATGCAAATTATTAATGAAATATATATGTATGTATGCACAGTGGTACAGTATATGTAGTAAATATAAATGAAAATTGTGCAAATGTGTCAATATGTAAATATGTGTATTGGTACATGTATGGATATTGTAGGCTGATTTTATTTATTTCACTTTATTTCATTGTTTTTAAGCAACATTATATAAAAAAGCGAAAAATTATTTAAAAAAATCGGAAATTTTGTTAATGCACTCAGCGCAATATACTCAAAAGGAACTCTATCGAAACTCTCTAAGTCTAGGATTTCGTTTAGAGAACATACATGCATACAAACATTTTATGCTTACTGATTTGTCAGTTGTTGTAGTTTAAAAGTTGAACATTTCAATTAAAAAAATTTAAAAAAAATTTAAAAAAAGCATAAACGAATGCAGTTGTAACATAAACAAATGATGTAATACGTATACATGCATACATAGTATGCATGTATTTTGGTATACATGTGAATGCACTTTTCGTTATCCTTTTTAAAATTCACCTTTGTAGAGCTCGCTTTTCTCATAATAAAATAATCAATCCCTTGTCTGTTTCTCTCTCTCTCTCTTTCACTCTCTTTTCAGAAACAGCAAATACCACCATCAGTCAGGGAAACAATACTTTCCCTACTGCTGCCACCGTGGATTACGTAAATTATGATTATCCGCAACCATCTAAACGTGGTCGTGGCTATGCGCCAACGGGTGAATTTGATTTGAGTCTTATACGCGAATTTCGCGCACGTCCAGGTTTTTATGATCGTAATTCTCCAATATTCAAGGATAAATTGCAAACAGCACATCAATGGCAGGAGATTTCGAACAATTTGGGTTACGATGGTGAGTAATTACATAGTATAACTCGGGGCGAATTCGTGGTAGTTTCATAAGGGTGTCTGGATGTGAATGCAGTTTTAAGGTTATGTTATCGAGGAAGAGGAAACAGTTTTTTCGTTTCGATTTTATATACATATGTATATGCTTATATTTCAAAAGCTTGTTATCTTTTTTTTTACACCCGCCGGTCTTTGCAATTGTTGAATATCGCTGGCTGCACATACTACGTGCTAAAAAGTTTATTAATATTTTTTTTTTATTATTCTATTGAAAACATTTCCAAATAATTCTTTTTTTTTTTAATTTAGCCTAAATTAGTAATCAAATAAAAATATTATTAAATAAAAAATACCAATATGTTTGTGCGCAAAGTCAATTCAATTATACAAATTAATGATTTAATTACTAATAAATAAAACAACAAAGTCGCAACGAATAGCAAAGCGGAAAAAGGCGAGAGTAAGATATTAACATGAGAAAATTCAAAGCCTCACAACGGAAGTGTACTGAGGCGGTCGATATACACTTGTTGTATGTATGTACAATCTTAGTGGTTTTATTAATTTGTTTATTTTGATTTTAATTTGCGCCCATAGCAAAAACAACATCGAAAAGCACGCTGCAAAGAGAGTAAGCAATGAATTAAAAAAGAGCCATAGGAGATAGGCAATATATACTCATACGTGTATGTAGGAAAAGAGCAAAAATCGAAATAAAATCCTAAACATGTGAGCAAACATAAAACGTTTGTAAACAAAATGTGCCGCATATGGTTGTTATTGTTAGTCAAAATAGCATTTTACAATGCGTGATATTCATGCATATATGTTTGTACACGTATGTAGCTTTTTAAATGATAGTAAGGGTGGAAATAATGGTTGAGTGTACTATTTGTGCATTTCATTAGGGATTTTATATTTGTTCACAAGCAACGATGAATTTAAAAAATATCATTTACTTTTTTGATTGCTGCAACATTCAGATGCACGTGCCTAAACATCTAAACCACTGTCCACTGATGCTTTAAATTTATGGTTTATATTATATTAAAATCTCGATTTTCTTGCATTTCCCATTAGTTTCCTTGCTGAAGGATCGCATGCTACAGCTACGAAACCGTTACAATTTAGAGAAACGCCGACTTGAGCAGCTGCGCGATGAAAATCCTGGCCAACATATAGACTCGCCATGGCCGTTATTTAAACATTTGCACTTCCTCTCCGAACACATAAGGCCGCGACGTTCTTATAAAAGCATGCAACCGCGCACATCGCTTGCTGATACTGGTGATGAAGATGAACAACAGCAGCAACAACAACCGCTGTTGCAGCATGAACAACATCTAGAGCCGTTGCAACAACAACAGCAAAGTGAACTACAGTTTGATCCACAACAAATGCAACAACAGCAAAATATGTCAATCGCCGGCGGCGACAGGCATGATTCTTTGAGTGATGGCGGCGGTACTGGTAATGGAGATTTATCAGCCTTTGCGAATGGTATACTAACGGTTAAAATGGAAGAACCAGATGGTGATGATGCGAATATAGCAGATGCTGAATCGTAATGAAAACTCTTAAATTTTTAATAACGTTCTTTTGTATTTGGTTTCCGTATTTTATTAATGAAAATGCAATTTAATTTTACAGTGGTAGCCAAAGTGGTGAGGACACACGCAGAGGACATCCCCTGAAGTTAAGTGCCGCTTCCACTTTACTCAGCATGCAACAACGTCAACCACATTCCAAATTGCCATTTGCTAAAACAACACATCCATCATCATCATCATCGTTGTCCCTAAATAAGCGTACGTCAAAATATATTGCTACACCGGCTGCAATGCCGCCATCAATTAAAATACGACGCTTGGACACCATGCAAGAACGTGCCGGTGTTCTACATTTACAACCACGTCCTAACATTCCTCAAAATAACAATTTCAATAATTCCAATCATAATATTGAAAACATGAATAGCAAAAGCAATGCGCTACGACAAAAGGAAGCAGCTACGGTATTGGCACCACGACCTGCATACAATTTACAAGTGAATCGGCGCTGTTTAACCAATTCTGAACAAAAGTATGCCGCGTTTGGTGACTTTGTATCATCTTCATTACTGGAACTACCCGCCACATGCGCCCTACAGTTGGTGGAGAAGTTCACTTCGGAAGTGGTGCGTGTACTGTTGAATAGCAAAGAGAAAAATGCACAAGACGCTAGTGGTGATGGCGGAGTAGCTCAACCAAGTGCAATTCAGCCGATAACACCGTTGCCTAGTACACAACAATTGCAACAAATTAATGGCGTTGGTGTTGGTGAAACAGTGAATGGCGTTTAAATGTAGTACATACATACATACGTACATAGTACGTAAATAGCTCTTACGTATTTTAACAGAAAGAATATACATATACCATTTAAATATCTTAAGTTATTTTTTTTTTTAATGAATTGACTGTCTTTAATGTGTTTTCCTACTTGTAATGTTTTTCTGTTTTAAGTTATTTCTTACAGTAATATATTTGTGCGCATAATTTTAGATCCGCTTGTATGTGAAATAAAGTTTTCCGCATGTGCTTTTAATGAAGTAAATCATTTGAGTTGCAAATATTTGTGAGTGTAAGTAAAATTAGTCATGTGGATTAAAGCATTTTCAGCGTCAACATAAATATGCGCTGATAAGCCTGAAAAACGATTTCAGGGATTATGGGTTATTTTTTTTTTAATTATTTGGTATACAACGCTCTAATAATATCTCGAATTCGTGAAACGTCGCAGTTGATACGGTAAGATTGAATATTTTTGGTCTTCAAAGTATTAATGCTTGGATGCTAAAGGATTATAAGCCGCTCCTTTTTAACTTGGCAATATTAGTTCATTATATTTTGATGATGATAATTTTTTTTTTTGGATATGTGTAAAATATTAGTAGCTGTAATCGAAGGAGACGCTTTGTACAAATAAAAACAATGTACAGATATTCAGAATGCATAGCGTGCAGCTTAAATATAAATTCCGAGAATATTGCGGGAATGGCAGTTCTTGGCCGGATAAAAATCGGGGACGTTCCGTAATAAAGACCCGACTGTCGAGGGAACTATTAGATTTTAGTCACCTCTTACAAGAGGCATACCTTACCATGGTGTTAATCTTGAGCCCCTAACACGCACTCATTTGTCATTTAGCCCACTTACTTATTACTTAAAATTTATTTTTTATAACAAAACGATATTTTTAAAATCATTTTCAAGAAACTTCCACATATTTTAAGTATGTGTAGGATAAATATTATATATATTTACATATATCGCCAATTATCTTGAATTAATTTACTTAATTTCTTTATTTATTTTAATTATAAAAAAATTATGTTGCATTCGAAACAAGATCTTTTTATCCAAAATAAAATTAAAATTTTCTTTTTAGAGACATAGTTTTTTAGAAACCCTTAAGGGAGTTCTTCAAAACATACAAAACGTTTAATGACTAATGCCTTGTGTAAATCACTAAATATATATTTAATTTTAAAGGACGAAACGCCAGGCTGGGTTTTCGCTCGTCGTTAGAAACACAAGACTGTGCAAAGGGAGGATATAGACGACTTAAAATCCTATATCATATAAATATGCTGGGAATGAAAACCCCTCCGAGTGTATTATTAACATGAAATTAATGCTCTACATAAAAATACATCAGTCGTTCGTAGGTCGCTTAGTATAAACTGTAGATCTCTCCATTTGTGCGAAACTTTAAGACGCACATCACAAATTAAAGGCGAAGCTTGTTCGCAAATCTCTATAAAGATTATAAAGCACCAAATATAATATATATATATTCATGTATTATATGCTTAGCGTTTTGAGATGCGACCGATTAATAAATGCAGCTCTGGAGCGACTGCCAAGGCAGTTTTTATGGTATTCACATTTTCGTTAATTAATTACCAACATGACTTTTTGGAACTTTTGGCATTAAGGAATACAATAAATTAAAAAAAAAAATATGGAAAATAAAGTGAATTGAAATATGAAAACAAAATTATGTACATACATACATAAATAATTAGCGTTTACGGTCGAGCTGCTCTAGAATGTGAAGTCGCCTTCGAACGGCACAGATTTTTGTGTATCCACCTTACTTGACAAAAGAGACGACGGCATTTAGAAAAAAACTTCCAGAAGCCGATTTGACCAGCAGTGGAATCCGTGATCCTCGTCGCTATCCGCTTGGTTATTATGGCGCCGAAATTGTCTTTGTATACTTTCTATGTACATATATACATATGTGTGTTGAAAAAGGTTTTTAGTTGTTGACAAATGAGCATTCAGCCTTCTTTTCGTTAATAAGAAAATATTCTATTTGACTAAAATGTTAAATAGAAATAAATATGTATAAGTTATGTGATTTTTGTTTTTAATAGTCTAGTATTTTTTTTTTTTAGCATTTTCTAATGTATTGTTTTGTTGATATTGTTATATGTACATACATATTTAAATGCATATTTTGTCTAATACATAAATTTCTTTTTTTCAGCACTTATATATATACATATATGCATAAATAATGTAACCGCTGGAGCGATTATGGTTTTGCGTCCTGATGTTTTCCCAACAAATGGAGCAGCCTGCAGTTCATACTAAGCCGCCTCCGAACGGCTGAGGGTTTTTTTAGCAGTTAGCATTGTTCATTTCTTGTACATATATATGTACATACATGTATAAAATGTCATTTGGCGTAGGTCGTGCCTGGTGCTTAATTTGTTTTTCCTACCATTTGCTCAAATTGCACTAGTCCCGGCCTGCAGTTTTTGACATTATCAACGAGATATTTGATGTTTTGCAGTGTTAAATGTTCAATGGTGTTCTAATTGCATATAATTAATATTAAGTGTTGATCATACATCAAAGTAATGTATATGTATATGTAAATAAAATAGTTAAATCCAACCTGTAAATATGATTTTTTACTATTTATGTATTTAACGGTATCATGGTTGACCTCGTCGTCGATTTCCAGTCGACATCACTTTCGTGTCGTGTCGGAAAGGCGAAAGCCTCCTCACTCCATTGGCTTCTACGGAAGAATCATGCTGATGCTAAAACATCTGGGATTAGCGAGAGTAGACCAACGTACCAACGTTCTCGACTGTCTTTGACAACTTTAATAATACCCATTAAGTGGTAAACTGTTAGAGTGGTACATGAACCAGTGAAACCAACCAACAAGTAAGATTCTAATCGGCTGTTATCTATCCTTTCCCTAGTTACGAAGGCAATTAAGACCTTACTGTTCCTGTCATTCATACAACATCGGAGTCCAGCAGCAGATCATCATAGTTTCCGAAAAGTGCACAGCACTTGCACCATTAACCGCATTTAACGTCATAAAAACCCATATAGTGGCATGAGTGCATGGTGCATCAACCAAAGCCGGCTCTGTACGCGAACCGTCTTGGCAGCATTATTGGCTCTGTCAAAAACGTGTGACATTGAGGATTCCTCATTACTGCAGGGGTTGCAGAGGTGGACTATGGACTGTGTGGTCGACAGTCAGTAATAGAATTTCGTGTGATCATTTAATATACACACATATATAGCAAATATAAAATTATCGCGGCTTAACCGATTTTTATGAAATTTTCTGTGCTTATCGGGCAACAAAATATCTATTTTTCACACCGGGAAGTGGACCGGGAGCTGACTATTTCGAAAATATCGTATTTACACCACGATTTATTTGACTTTTGCTCAGACTAGCAGTAACAGCACTTCTGTTGCCAGGAAGTGTAGCAGGGACCGATCTATTCGCAATAAACTGTTATTTATTTTAATTAATTTAGAATCATTTAAAAACTTGTTTCGGTATTGGCCAGGGACAGGGACTACAGTAGAGGTTTGTTTGATCCATACACGGGTAAACGGGACGAGCAACTACATAGCCTGCGCTTACGTGCTTTGACAATTATCTTCAATGAATTATGCAGCATATATTGTATCCTTGTAAGAGAAAGGTAACTCTCAGAACGGGGTATGTGGTTGGTTCTTAGTTCATACGCGATTGCGTTCAGTGGGAAACTCTTATCTACATAAGTGGATTACGAAAGAAAACTTTATTCCGGGAAACGTACCAGGGGCCTACTTAAGACAAGGTTCCGCCAAAAAAAAAACGTGTGTTTTTCAAACAAGTTTTGTTTAATAAAAAAAAAAAACATTTACAAATCAAAGTTTATGCACATAAGTAGACGTATAAAAATATTAATTGAAAACAAAAAATGGATTCTGGATATTGTAGCAGGTTAAACTCCTACTTCTCTAGACTAGACCCCAGCTTACCCAACGTATGCCCTGCATGTGGAGAGTCTCCGCACGACACTAACCACCTCTTCACATGCCCTCTAAAACCAACTCCCTCTCCTTATGGTCCAACCCTGTCGAAACAGCTCCTTTCCTGGACCTACCATTAGATGATCTCGGCGACTTAGACTGATCAAACCTGTGCCTAAGCGGGGTTAGCGCACCGCTACAACAAAAACAACTACAAAATTTAAACCGGTTTCTTAGTCGGTATCATATTGGCTATGGCCGGAGCTACAATGAAACTATTTCACCAAAAAAAAAAAAAAAACAGAAAAAACGAAACAAAAATGGCGGACTTTTTAATTTTTTACCAGCTTTTCAATTTTAATTGCTTTTATATTTTTTAAATAACAATGAATATTTTTGGTTGTAAATGAGAGTGTCGCCCAGTTGAAGAAACGTGGTTTCGAGAAACAGGCGATTAAAGTATCCGCTCTCCCCTCTTCTATACTTACTTTTTAAGCTTGCGGACCTTCGGGACTAGTTCCATATTATTTCCAAGTGTCATTTGTAGCAATTTACAGGAAACAAAATTTCGATTTTATGAACATTTTTTAGAGGAACCTGGCTGACCTTCAGCAACAAAATTTTATTAATGATTAGATTCTCTTGAAATTTAATGGATTGGTGGCTTAGCCTTCAGTTTAACATGCAGAAAATGGTTCGTAAAAATCTTGTTTATGGTTCATTTTACTTGACATTCATGTCCTCTCCAGTTGTGAGTGTGATACCGATCGGTGAGGAGAAACCGTTTTTATGGTTTGGTTTGCTTGAACTTTTCTTAGAGGGTTGTTGACGAATGTGTTCTATTAGGCGGCAAAACGCGCGTAAGTAAATGAAAGGGATGTGCTTATGCATATGACATGTTCAGTCTACGTTGCCTGTTGGCGTGTAGCCAAACCATCTTTTTTGTATGTTCCTGCGTCGAAAAATTAATCGGCTGCTGCCATATCGTTTTCTGCGATTTTTGAGTTCATTCAAATAACTCACATTAAGTTTTGAACTATGTAAATTTAATCCAAGGGCATAGAATTAAGGGGAGGCGAACTTTGCCGGCTGCTCTGTTATCGGTATAAATTTTGTTGGATCTGCATCTTCTACTTTCATGAAAGGAATTTAGACGGACTATTTCTGATTCGATTAATGCGACTCTTAGAACGATGATGGCCGTAATAGTCGAGTGGTTGGCATTATCTATTGACATTCGGAAGGCTAGGGTTCGAGTCCGGGTTCAACTAACATCTGAAGTAGTAGAAAGTTAATAATTCTAATTCAGGTCGCTGTTCAGAGTAGGGAATGTCAAGCGTTCCGAGTTTCATAGAAATCCATTCGGCGTTCGGAAGCGGCTTAGTAAATATAAACTGTAGGTCTACAAATAGGAGAAGGAGCTCAGGAGAAGGAGCTCAGCCTAAACGATTATTATATATATATATAGGGGTATATATATATAATAATAATATATATGTATATTAATAATATATAGACATACATATGTATAATATGTACCTTTCTTTGGTATATCCAGCTTATTATGGTGCAACCGCAAAGTGTCAGCCATTCAAAAACACATAACCACAGCTTCTGCTTCAGTTTATTTGAAAGATAACAACAACAACAACAACAACAGCGACAGCCACTGACCTTCTTTGAGGTTGCAGAGGCAGCAGCTGCCGCGTTAAATTAATGAATGAACAGCCTGATAATGAATGTCTCAGGCATACTAGCATATGTATATGTAATATGTATTTATGTATGTACATATAAGGAAGGAATTAGCTTGCGCACCGACAACATTGTCTTACCTAAACGTCTGTCTTCTGCAGCCCACTTGCATGTGTTATTTTTATGTTAACTCTCTTTTATTTTTGTTGTTTTTTTTTCTTATTTTTTTTTTTTTTGAATATCTGAAGGTAAATTACAAATTGCACTTTAATGATCAGCCGTCGAATTATACTTTTTCTTACAATTCAGTGTACTTATGCTGATCCATCCTTTTTCGAAAACGCCATCTTCGTGTTCTTTGTGGTCAAAGGTGGTATAAAAGTTAAAGAAAATAATGTATAGCAATTGAGCCTGCGGCGAGTGTTTTAAAGTTACCTTTGACAGCTGACGAATTGGTAACAGACGGATCGGAGAGAGAAGTCTGCGAGATTTGCATTGGGGTATTTCATTAGAAAAAAGTAATAACGCAGTTGAAAGCCGAATGTGAAATTCGTCGCTTACATTATTTACTAAATTGAAAGTTAATAGTAAAATTTATCGAAGAAGATGAAGATAAGATATATAGATATGAAGTCGGAGATCTTTCATGAGCATACCAAATTAATGGTATTTTCCTTTATGATTAAATACTCGTATCCATTCTTATATCTGAAGGGCAGCGAAGGAGCGTTTTTATGAACGCGAAATTCTAGTTCTCAGATCGTTCAAACAATTTATTTATAGAATCATAAAAAAAGTTGTCTCCTTATCTTCAAAATACGCTGAAACTTCCAGCGTGACTTCATCATAGGTGATACCCTTCAACCCTCAACTCTTTTTTAAAATTTTTGGAAACAGATAATAATCCATCGAGAACAGGACTGCGCGCTGTGAGATGCTGATTCAAAATATCGAAACCCACTTTATATTTTGCGCAAGCGTGGGCATGCTCGACATCCATCTTGCGCCGTTCTTAGTCATGCCAATATGATCGTGCAGTATTTTAAAAATTGTTGTATCGTAAACTTTTATCATTTCTGCGAATTGTTCCATCTTTTGTCGAGCATGGCCGACTTTCAGCAATCTGAAGAACTGATCACCGAGCAGAATGACTAGCTGTTTCGACGGATTCGAAACTATAGATCTTTTAGTCTACTGCCAGGTCTCATTACATGCAAGACATACATAGAATATTTCGGGTCAGGTCTGGATAATTAGGAATTATGTCCACTTCAATATCCAGATTTAATTGCGCCGGAATTAATCGAAACTATAGAGCTCTTAGTCTACAATAGGTGGTGTTTGGTTATCGAGAGCACAGCTCACTAAAAGAAAGTTCAAGAAGGTGTTGACGGACTCTCGGTAAATGACGTTAAAACCTGTCGGTACGTCAACCCGTCCAGCCCTTCTTACTTGTGGGGCTGAATGAAGTTTGGGAGATCTAGCATTTCCTAGGTGAAGATTCAGCCGTAAGAAAATGTCAGTAGGAGTAGCATCCCAGCAGACATTGCTAACACAGCATAACATTATTATGCTCTTTAACTCTCAGCATAGACGTTTTGCCGTGCAAGTGATGCTCCGGTGACTGCCAAGAGATTTCCTGATCCAGCCATGAGGGCGGTGTTCTGACATGCTTGTAGCTTCTCATCCGCGTCTCGCTAGTCCACGTCATACGAATCTGATTGCCTTGTATGTTGCGAGCAACGTTTTTTTATGTTTTCTGCATATGCTGAATGCTAACGATTTGAGCATTTTGTTGTGGCTCTGTACTTTGTCTACTACTGTTCATACGCAGTGAAAGCCTGCAGGCTGTCGAATGTGACTTTCAGTAACTTTGGGTTGTTAATTGTGGGAACTCTAACGCCAGCGACGTTCACATTGAGTTCGAGCCGGCGCTCCCTCGTCCAACTGTGGAAACGGGTACCCAAGGATTTCGCAGGTTCTACCCATAGTTGTCATGCAGTGCAGATGTTGGGAAAAAGGTCGGCGACATATCACTTTACTTTCGAACATAAGATATAAATAGCCTGGCGAGCCGATATCGACCAGTCATCGGCACATGAGATCAATGAAACGCTCTTTGAGGGAGTTTGACTTTGAAACTCTACCCACGACTGTCCCCCTACTCTGCAAGCACATACAACTTCTGAGAAAAGAAATCCTCAAGGACCGATCAGCCGCATGGGTAGTTAAGAATTGTTCAACTATTGACCAATTGCCTGCTTTATGCTTTGTGTACAAAATATTGCGGAACTAAAAAAATGACCAAAGGAAAAATGCTGAGGACACGACAGGCAGCTCTGCAACCGGGCGTGTAACAGTGGAGTAAGTAGTTTTGAGTAATAAAAGATTTACATGTTTTTTTCTGTTATATTTGAATTGAAGTTAAACGTTGCATTTTTATTTAATTTTTTATTTTATTTTATATCTTCATGCAATTATCATTTATACATCAATAATAATATATGTATAGAGAGAATGGATTGAAGATCGTAAATTGTAAACACTTATGGTTACGCATTTAAAGTCACTTAATTAAAATATGGTATTTTAAATATATTTATATGTATGTCTGTATATATTTATATATAATATATATATATATATACTTCTTGGTGTTACTGTAAGTTTTTTCTCTTTAATTAATGCACGACAAATATAGACGATTTTGTTGTTCCAACACAACACAATTGCTTGGCGCCGTCTGCAGGCATTGAATGAAATTTATTTAGAGTTAAATAAGTTGCAATATTTTAGTTTTTGTTTTCTAATGCCGAAGTGACAATCATTGGTTGCCTAAAAACATATGTAAGCCGAGTTCATAACAACTTGAATCCGCCCACAATTGTAAATATTTTATGTATTCTTTGAAGTGTTGCCACAAATCCTTCACTAAATTTTCGATTTAGTTTTTTTTTTTTGGAAAACACCAATGTTCACTCAAAAATTGCTGTACTGCCCACATAGGTGCATGTGTATATCAACCAGTCAATCAGCTAGAATATTAGCTTATATGAGCTACAATAGCAGATTTCAGCTTAATTCAATGGATTTCGTTTCGCAAATGCAATGACGTTAGCAAATGCGTTTTTCTTCACTTGAGTGACTCAAATTTAATCAACAATTAAACACCACGTTTCTATAGCGTTGTTGCTAAACGTTCGAGAATCCAGCTGATTTCATAGTTCTGGCACCGACCATCTCGGTGCGGATTGCAGACCCGCTTTTATTGTATATTTTTAAACCATGCAATATAATTATATGAAACAAGCTTTATACAAGAGTGTACAGAAATATTTGTTGTTTCCTGCCATCGCACAATTAAAGCTGCTACATTTAATTTCAATTTTCTCGCCCACGAGACCATGGCCTATCCCTACCACTTGTCTGAATATTTTAGAATTTATAAGATTGCTTTCTGTGCTCTTGCTGTTTGCTGCTTTTGATTTTTTGCTTCGCCACTTCGGTTTTCCAAAACGTTTTTTTTTTCTTTTTTATTTAATTTTGATCCGTTCAAAATTTTCATCATTCTATTCGCATCCTGCTGACACATATTGCTACCTAAAGTTTATGAGTTAACATACATACATAATACATATGTTTGTTTGTATGCATGTATGTATGTATGTATATGTTTATATTTCATTTTTCTTACTTTTTTTCTTTAAACACGACGACGACTATAAGTTAAAAGTACAAGAAATATGGAGTAAATATAAGAGTGTAATACGAGTAATAGTATTTTTTTTTTATATATATATAATTTCGTTTTTGTTATTCTTTTTCTTTAAAATAAGTAATAATAATAATAAACATTCATAGTGGAATACGGCGTTACTGTGCTTTCGGCGTTCAAATAACTTCGGCCATGTGGCTTCGTCGCACCGCCGATTACAAGCAAATCGAATATAAATACGAATACGAGATCAAAAAATGCTCTAAACGCTTTCGTTCGAATTATACGTAATAGTTCATTTGCAATTGCTAACACCAACATGAAGTTCGGTTCGTTCTTTTCCAATTGACATTGGTGTTGACGTGTTGATCGTTGCCGCCACCGTCACAATTCGTATGTGATGTTGTTGAGGTGATCACGTGTTCTACGCGACTTAAATGGTGCTGAGAAATGCTCAAAAGCCGTTTCGGCTGTGAACGAGGAGGAGCGCAGACGATGATGTGGCTGCGAGGAACGGCTGGTTTGCGCGCCGGAACTGCGCGAACGTTGATAAGGCGGACGTGTAAAGCTTGTGCTATACGGCGCATTCGAGCTATGGCCACCACCAAAGCAACGCATTGCGGCGCATATTAGTGTACACCAACGCCACGAGGAGAATGTATAGAAGTGCGGCGCTGTCTTGGGTAATAAATGTTGGCGACTGTGATGTAGATAGGGATTATAGTTGGAGCGGAATGATCTGTCACTACTGTTGCCACTGTCAATGCTACTGCTCCGATTTAATAGCGACATACGAAATATATTGCCATTATTGGCATTATTATTATTCCCATTCACCGGATTGGTGTTGTTGTCATTGCAGTAGGCCTCTTCATCAAAATCGAAATTATTAGTGAGCGCTGCAGCCGCAGAGCCACCACTGCCAAATGCTTCATCATGCTCATAATCTCGATCGATGGAGACAGCTGGTGTGATTATCATGAATTGCCCATATTTGGTGCGATATGAGCGATTGCTTGCTGAGTGTCGATTGACACCGTTGCTGCTATTATTGCTGATAGGTGGTGGTGGTAGTGGTGGCGGCGGAAGCTGCGGTAGCATATGTGAAGATTTTTGGTGTTGCTGCTGCTGTTGTTGATATTGATAGTGAAGCTGCTGCTGCTGCGCTGTTTGATTGGCAATTGAGTTTAGTAGCGTTTGATTGGTGTCTACCGATGAGAAGGAATTGCTGGAAGAGAGCGGTGACATGTCGCCGCTGTGACCCAACATGTTGCCATTGGCAACAGTTGTTATGAGGCCGGCGGTTTGGCTAATGAATGTGCCAGCCGGCGATGGCTGCGTCGTGGTAACCATTTGTTGCTGATTATGCGCGTGATGATGATGATACTGCAGCTGCAGTGGCAGTGAATGCTGTTGTTGCAATTTCGGTTGCGGATGTGTGTGATGTGTTGTTGCTATAACAGAATTATGATGTCTTCTCTGTTGTTGTGGCTGTTGATGCTGCTGCTGTTGCTGAGGTTGTTGGTGTGTCAATTGTTGTTGTTGTTGTTGTTGCTGCTGTTGCAGCTGTGGATGTTGATGTTGCTGTTGTGCAGGCGAAGTAGTAGTAGGAGTGGAACCGACTGATGGCCATCATCTCGTTTCTTCATTGCCGCTACTATTGTCATCAGGCTTGACGATCTGATACGTTATCAAATACTCCGGATAGGCCTGTAGATTGCAAAGCCAATAGATCAATGTAAATTAATATTTATAGTATATATACATTTTTTTTTTTTCGTATATTACCTGCTCCCCTCGGTAGACCACATATTCAGCGAAGTGTAAGCCACCTGCTGATGGCCGACCAATCACTGAATGATGACCGGGTGGCGCATGCGCCATTTTCATTGCACTATACTGTAAGAATGATTTACCCAATGCAACGCGACACAAGAGCAATTGTCTACGAGAAGGAACACAATGGAAATGAATTAAAATTACATTCTCAAATTCATAAAAATCAATCATAAAAATTACAATAGAAATACAAATCAATTAATCACTCCTGGAGATTCTGCGAGAGAAAATTTTCTTCAATGCCTTAAACTTCTTTACGCCCATCCATTCTGTATGTTGGCTACCAGCTACCTAAGGTTAGCCTTTATAGGAGGAAAATGTAGGTAACTGTGAACTTTTTGGACTGTTCATCCAATTGAGAACTGAAAAAATCACTTAAAGTGTAGAAGTTACTAATAAACACTTCCAACCACTATGAGTTAGCTTTATCGTCCGGTAGAAACAATACGTCGAAGAAGACATCTTCAAAGACAAATTTGTGTTCGGTAAAATTATAGCCAAAGCGGACGGAAAAAAATAAAAAAAGACTTTGTTAAGGCTTAAAATGGACTTTAAATTGAGTTGCTTATATTAGATATGGTGGAGCGTCAATGATGCTCAAGCTAATCCATTAAAAAATTTTGATCTGATAGATGAAATCTCAACGTAATTCAAAAGGATGTGCTTGGCAGACTTAAATTTTCTAAGTCGGTAAGGCAAACTATATTTATATCTAAAAAAAACGGCGCTACCAATTTTGAAAAATTCATGTGCTTAAAAGACACTTGAAAAAAAAAATAAAAATAAATCCATTACACAAAAGCAGTGTGACTCACCTCGGACAAACATAGCATGATTTATCCTTATGCGAGGGACAGCCAATACCACCACCAATGCCGTACACATACTGATTACTCTTTGAGCTGTGTTCTGCGAAGTAAATACCCGCGCCAAACATACCACCAATATAGGCATGTCGTTCATCGAAGCCTTTCTGCACAATTGCATTAATGAACGGGCTGCCATGGAAGAGCATTCGTTCATTGGCCTGTATGGAGTTCTCTTCTGCCACTTCATGACGCCGATGTGCGTAACGTTCCCAGAGTTTACGATTCTGCACCTTTTGCACCTGAAAGCAAGTAGAAAAGAAAAAAAATTTCAATAGAAGCAAAGACCTAGAATGTGTATGTCTTACGCGTATAATATTGTAGCGTGTAAAATAACCACCCGCTTGGCCGTTATCTCTATGTTCACGTATGGTAGCCTGCATTTCCTCTTCGACCGCGAGAAATTCCTTATCGTCTGGCAAGAGATCCACTAATAGAGTGCCTGGATTGACATTGCTACCAATGCCTGTGTTGAGAGAATTCAGCAATAATAGATATACGTTTCAATGAATTAAATTTAGCTTTTAATTTAAATAGCTGTATAGCTGTTGCTCACCTGTAGTGGCGCGCAGCTGCGCAATACCTTTCAAGATCTTATGACGAAATCCGTACGCAGACACGCCTACTTGTTTCAAATCCTCATGACTCATTTCGGCTAGTATTTCCAACGTGATTTGTTCACGCTCAAAGAGATCTATCAAATGTTCAAGTTGTTGGCTACATAAGAAACTGGCCACATTGGTAATGGACTCAGGATCGGGCACCTCTTCACAACTTGTTAAGTCGCCCGAGTTCGATTCAGCTCCCTGTGCCGGACTGATGCGCGTAGACAGCGGTAGCGGTACCGGCACACTTAGCGTCATCGAAGCGCCAGAAGGTAGTGTTACAGTCTCTGTGGTTGGTGAGAGCACATTACAAGCTGCTGCGGCAGCCGTCAGACTGCCAGCGCTTGCGGCCGAAGTACTTGCTGCTGCTGCTGCCCCAGCAGCTGTTGGCGCTGGCGAGGGAGAATTGCTGAGTAATGACTGCTGCGAAGCGCTAAGATTTGAGTCGCCTAGCGACGTCGTCATGGCGTCTTGCAATAAACATTTGACGTCATCTGCTGTCGCCAATTCGATTGGTGTTTGGCCTTCTTGATTCTTCATGTAGGGATCAGCGCCGTGTGCAAGCAATAAAGCGCACAACTGTGTGCGACCCTTTTGCGCAGCTTCATGTAGCGGCGTAAAGCCCCACTTGTCGGTGGCATTCACCACAGTCTTGTGTTTAATTAAAAGCGCCGCAATATCCAAGTGTCCGTAGGAGGACGCATTGTGCAATGGAATCAAACCACCTTTATCCTGTGCGTTTACGTCGGCGCCATTCTCTAGTAGATATTCAGCGACCTCGTAGTTGTTGTAACCAGCCGCCAAGTGTAATGGTGTTGAGTTACGACCTTGCGCGTCACGACAATTGATCGTTTCCGGTGTGACTAAGCGTTGCACACGCGCCAAGTTACCTTTCTTCGCGGCATCAAGTAGCGCTGAATTGCCTCGCAGCAATTCCGCGACATCGTGATCCGATTCTTTGACCAAATCAGCTGGCGTTGCACCATCGCGGTTTTTCTTCGACGGATCGGCGCCATGTTTTAATAACAATTTCACTATATCATATTTGCCCTTCGCGGCGGCTTCATGTAGCGGTGTGAATTTCCACAAATCGGATACATTCACATTAGCGCCATGCTTCACCAGCAATTCCGTGACCTCGTAATGTCCATACGAACACGCGTTATGCAGTGGTACCAAACCCCCTTTATCAGCGGCATGCACCTCTGCGCCGTGCTCCAATAGAAACTCAACCACGGGCACACGATTAAAGCCGGCGGCGAAGTGCAGCGGAGTGGAGTGACGTCCATCCAGATCGCGGCAGTTTACAGTGTGCGGTGTGGCGAGCACAATGCGACGCACTGTGTCAAGATCGCCCGCTTTGGCAGCTTCCAACAGATGGGTTTCCGTATCTGGCGGATCTTTAAATATCTTCAGCACCGCATCAGAGGCCAGTTGTGCTGCGGTATAACCTTCCAATGATATAATAGTTGTATCGATCGAATAAGATAGTAACAGGCGCACCGCCTGCTCATCTCTAGCACATTTATGCAATGCAGTTTGACCCAAACCATCCAAGGCATTTACTTTAGCACCATTCTTTAAAAGTGTGTCCATGACGTCATAGTGTAAGTGCTCTGCTGTGAGATGAAGTGGTGTGAGGAATGCTTTGTTCTTCTCATTAAGCAATGCACCTTTGCGTATAAGAATTTCAACAATCTGCTTGCGTTTGGGATCAATCGAAACAGCGGCAGCATGCAGTGGTGTGTCGCCAGAATATGGATGTACAAAGTTAACACTTTCGGAAGAGAGAAATTTCTTAAGACGCGCCATGTCCCCCTTTCTACATGCGTCCAGCACGCAATGTCCTTTGAATTCATCTGAGAAAAATAAGAAAGACATTTAAATTTTTTGAAAAAGATTTTAAAATCTCACTTAACTTACATGTAATGCGTTCACGCAGCTCCCTTGTGGGCGCCGAGTCAATCGCCGACTTATTATGGCAATTAAGCAGCGTCGGATCAGCGCCTTTGCTCAACAGCAGACTGCACACTTCAATGCGGCTTTTTGACGCTGCCTCATGTAATGGCGTAAACGCCCATAAATCGTTTGCATTCACATTGGCCCCTGCCTTAATCAGCAACTTTGTCACCTCAAAATGTCCGTAAGAGCAGGCATTATGCAAAGGCACTAAGCCGCCTTTATCCTTGGCATGCACATCAGCGCCATTTGCCAGCAGTATTTCCACAATGCCAATGCGATTGTAGCCGGCCGCTAAGTGGAGCGGCGTCGAACGTCTACCATCACTGGCGTGACAATTTACATTAAGCGGCGTAAGCAATGCCAGTAGGCGATCCTCAGCGCCCGAGCGCGCCGCTTCCAGTAATTCATCTTTGCGATATTCGCCAGTCAACACGGGTCGTGTGTTTTCGTCGGCCAATTCAAGTGGGGTTTTCTGTTCTGAATTGCGTATATTCGGATTGGCACCGTGCTGGAGCAACGCTATGCAAACGTCCACTTTTCCTTTGCTCGCCGCTTCATGTAATGGTGTATAATTCCAATTGTCCGTTGTGTTGGGACTCGCGCCGGCCTTCAAGAGTAATCGAACCACCTCAGCATGCCCAAAAGAGCAAGCATTATGCAATGGATGTAGGCCGCCTTCATCACAAGCCTGTATGGAAGCGCCACTATTTAAAAGAAATTCGACGACCTCACGACGGCCATAACCTGTCGGACGAGGAATGTAGAGCATCACATAAAAGTCATAAGCTAAATATTATATAATATAATCTCATTTTAATTTTACTAAATTCAATTGGATGCAAAAAGACAATCTCCTCCCATCAAACAGACCATATAGTCTCGAAGGCCACTTTTGCTAGTTACTGTTGGAGAGCCATACATTCTACTAGCAGGCCCGGACACACGTTCAAGTTATATTGCATCTGCTGTAGCTTATTGGTTAGCACTGCCCACTCACATTCGGATGGCCAGGTTTCGAGTTCTGATCCCACCAATATCCAAAATTTTAGAAAATTCTAATTGCGATCATTCATCGGCAGGAACATCAATCCCTCCGAACGTATTTCCGGCATTCAATTAAAACCTTCTCATAAAAATCCATCAGACGTTCGGCTGCTTAGAATAAACGGTAGATCCCTCCATTTAGTAGAAGGACATTAAGACTCACACCACAGATTGGTGGCGGAGCTCTACCGAAAATTGCTTCAAAGAACTACATATATCATTTTTTTTTCGTATAGATCGGTCCAGGGTAAAAAACCGTCTGCTTATTTAAGCAAAAGGTCACCAATGTATCAAATTTCCCATCCCTGGTAGAAGAGTATACTTTCTTCTAGTCTAAGCAAGAAGTCACCTATATATCGTATTTCAAACATAAAAGTCCCTGATCCACTTTCCGGATTTTTCTTATCATTTAAACTTTTCCTGAACTTGCACAAAAATTTCAAGATTAAAATTCAACTTCTAGGTTCAGCCATACAATAGTTATAAGTGTACACAAATCTCGGAGATTAATTTTTACATAAAAAGATGGTAAATTTGATTTTGATTTAACAGCAATTTCAACCTACTTCCCTAACCTACATTTCAGTACAACCAAATACTGTCTAGGTGTTTCTCCAATAGCTGTTTATCTATTAGACGTCTATGTTTTAAAGGTGAAGTGCGAAATGATAAAATACAAAACGAGTCCCTTACTCCAAACTCTGGTCTATTAAGAGAGAAGGACCCATGCTTATGCCACCTTCACCCCCAATCGAACCGCGCATTAGTTACATGACTGATGTTTATATCGGTCAAAAATAGAAGATGACCGATCTGTGGACCTAAGTGGCAAGTAGGACTATTTCCGGATCTAAGTCATTCCCATTTGATGGCAGACGAAAAGAAAACCTTGAGGGCCATACATGCTTTAATACAACTTCTCGTTAGACATGACAATAACCCGTATTATATTTAGTTCAGCCAAGTGGACAATTACACTGGTCAACAATGTTTTTGTTACACGACACAACCCCGATCTACTATGCGCGTGGAGAAATAACCTTTCTAATTTTTTCTACATAGTGCCGACTTGACTGAGAATAAACCTCCAAATCGAACAGAAAGACCAGATTTGTGTGAGGAAATTGTGCTAAGACAGCACGATACTGTATCTTAAGATAGGAACAAAAGTAATGAAGAGTCAATTTAAAAAATACAGCGTTTTATGACTCACGATTTGAATCTGTTAACAAAGCTGAGGGTTGCTTTCTTCTGATACAAAAATTTCTTATTTTCGAGAGCGTGATGAAGAAATAAAACCGCACTTTAAAGCAGGTGATTTTAATATGTCATTAAAAAATCCTCTGCAGTTCTTTCCAGCAAACTTGGGTGTTGGGAGAGATTATTCATCTCAGGTGAGAGGTTACATCAGGCCACTTCCAAAAAGAAGATGGGATGGAGTCCAGGAATGCTAGTAGATTATTATTGGAGATTTAGAAGGGGCCAACCAGAAGGGACAAAAGCTAAAAATTCAATACAATTTTTCAAAGTGTAGATTTTTGTATTTTTTTTTTCTTAAAATAGACAATAAAACCTGGTACATATTTCTTCATTGGTGTATAATTGTTTGATAGCACCAATTCATTCAAAAGTTGATAAAAAGTTTTTATGTGACAAAAATATTTTCAATTTTGTTAACCAGTATTATTAGCCGTGGAGGGTACAAGGACTGAAATAAACTATAAAGAAAGTGTTCCAAGTTAAATGGGATCACTGAGTGACGACAGGATATGCCTCCTCAGCACACAATGCGACAGGTAAGCATTACAATCGGAAAATAAGCACACTGTGCCAGCAAGACTCGAACGAAAGAAGCGGAATGAGTACAAAATCGATTCAGTTTCATTAAGAGCCCATAATAATAATAAATCCCATATTTTAGTATATTATGATTAGAAATTTAATTTTGATTTTAGAAATTTAAATATCAATAAATTATGCCAATTTTATCAGTCTTATACAGAAGCATTAAATTTCCTTCTGAAGCTTGCCTCTTCTCGGTTCACTTGAAATTCGGTACATTGGTGGCTACTACTCTTCTCTCCGTGAAGTGGACTAGGGACCGAGCTATTCGGAAAAATATTGTAGGAGGCTTTTTGCTTAGTTTCACGGAAATACTACTCCTCTCTTCGGGATCTGAACATAAGATTAACTTATTCGAAAAACAACCGTATTTACAGTTCTTTCTACCTGAAATTCTTTTTTTTCTTTGTGTAATTTGTATTGAACTATTTTAAGAAATATACATACTCATCGTTCAGTTCAGTTAAATTCAGTTCAGTTTTTGGATGATATGCTTAAATTGGCGGACGCATTGCACACCGGCATTTTGAAGGCCAGGCATCAAGTTTTGTGGTTGCCTCTCGGCAGGGAATGTCACCCTCCGGGTGTATTTCGGACATGAAATAAAAAAAATTCATCGGCCGTTAAGAGGCGGCTTAGTATGAACTGTAGGATCCTCAACTTGTTGTGAAAATATGAAGACGCACACCGCAAATTGAAGGACGAACTCGACCGAAATTCGCTCAGAGATTACAATCATATAGGTATATCTATTTTTTTCCATGAAATGGCACAGAAACAGAAAAAAGTTCAATTTTTTGAGAAACTTTTAGCAGCGAAGAAATGACCCACACATACAAATATACTATTAAATCAATGATATGTATAATAAAAAAACTAATATTTTGAATTAGATGATGCTTAACTAATGTTTTTTGATCGTTCTTTGCAATACTAATTAAAATAAAAAATTAAAAAAAAACACAAGGAAAGCAACAACAAAGGGTGGCCGGGTCTGCTAATATTTTGAAAAACCTGAAGACACTTAGTGAAAAATAGCTGTACTAACTTACTCTCTGAACAAGACGGTAGACACATGGCTGGATCTTTGTTATCTGAAAGAGCATGGACACAAAAAAAAAAAAAGAAAATTGAAAAAGTTAGAGTCCAAGCGAATGCTGGGACAACGCGCCGGGCACTTAAAAAATTGGAAAAGACGATTAAAAAGCCAAGCATTTTGCGCAAAATTAAAAGGCTCATCGAGGTGATACCGACAAATGAAAGTGCAGATCATCTATGTACCATTGAAATATCTCAAAAACTGAGTACTAGTTTGCATACAAACACACGGAAAGGCGGACTGCCTTGATTGCTATACTTCCATTTCTTCTGGTACTCACAAGTTTCGGTGGTATAAAAATTATTATTAAAACGAAAACTTAGTAGCAGTCAGATAAACATATTGACTATATGTATGTATAGATTTGCATTAAAGCTGATTCCCCTCTCTCTCTCTCTTTCTCTCTCGTATGACTAATAAATATATTGAACTTTTTAATGTTGTTTTTTTTTATATATTTTTCGATTTTTTGAAATGCGTTACCACAAATTAGTCATCGCCTTCAAGCAATATGACAATGGTTCATTTTAATGCTTAAGCTTGGGGCCATGGGTAAAACGTGATAACCACGTAAATATTGTTAAAAAACAATAAAGTGAAAAAATTTAAACCAACACATATATAAAGTCACGTCAATTTAATCGTAACAATGAAATTGGTAGCATTTGGTTAAAAGAGTGTACAAATGCATTGTACATAAACACATAAAAAAGATAGATAGATATATATATATATATATAAGTACATATATGAAACGATTTCGAAGAAACTAGCTGGTTATCTAGCTTTTATTCTCTTGATATACTTTTGTATTTTATCATTTTTTTTTGTTTTTGCAATATATACGATATATACCTTGCAGCCATACTCGGACATTTGGAATGAATTTTATTTTCTACTTTAACAATTATGATTATTTTTTATCTTTACGTGGGAATGAATTAATCATTTAATGTTCGCGAAAAATAATTATTGGAGGTGAAAGATCAAATGATCGCAAGGAGCAAGTAATAATGGGAAAGAAGTCTAAAATAATCTTACGAACCATACAAATCTGGTAGAAGTTCGTTATTGTGATCTACGTGTATTAAGTTCAAATCGCTATTCGAACATACGTTAATTTTGATCTGTGGAGACCCGTTCGCTCCGCACTATGGCTGCTTAAGACACCAACATACATATGTATGTTTGTTGGGTATAAATAAATTTTAGTTTATTTTTTTTTCCTTTTGTTTATTTATTTTAAATTGAAATTCGTTTGGTAATAACGTTTCGACTGGCGTTTCGAATGTGGTTTTTGATTTTAGGCATTAACCGTTGCAAACCTTCTATCAGCTACATAGACTATATACGAGTATATGTATATGTATGCAATAATAGTAGCAATAGCAGTAGTGTGCAAACAAGGTCAGAGCACAAGTGTATACATGCATACATACATATTAGTGTACTTAGTTGAGCCCCTGCAGTGAAAAGCTACACAATATATATACATATGTATTTATATATACTTAGATATATATATTTATATGTATTATATACAATCTACATATGTATAAAATTAGCATTTTGGAAGCTCTGAGGCGATTTTCGTCCAAGCTCTTCCTTTAATTTATGGTTTAGCGTCTTCATATTTTTACAACAAATGGAGGAAACTACAGGCGCGGATACTAAGGCGCCTCTGGGAAGCTTTTTATTTCATGTCCTAAGTACACTCGGATGGCTTGACGTTCCCTGCCGAGAGGCGGCCTAAATAAATATAATATATAATAATAGATAATTTTTATTTTTTAATTAATTTTCTAAAATTTTCGTTGTTGGTCGAATCAGGACCCGAGCTCAGGAGCTTCCGAATGGTGACACACACATCCGACTACTCGGCTATTGCAGCTAAACTAGTATGCTACGCGTTACTGGATAAGGTTAATATCTAATATTTTTTCTGTCCGCGTATGTAATAAAACAAATATCACTTTAATGGTTTTCATTATCTTGATTCATTTTAAAATAAATATGAACATATTTATGATATCAAATAGCAAAGATAATAATTAATACCTAGATATTATATACATATATACCTACATACAGATACAATTGATAGCAAATACATATGTACATACATAAAATGTTTAATATTTCTTAAACCTTCGAGACTCTAGCTTTACCCGAATTTAAAACAAATTTCATTACAAATAGAGTTAAGACTCTATTGTGTTGTTGTAGCCACACAAAATATTCCCAAAAGAAGTTTAAAGGGAATAATGCAAGAGTGGCAGTCTTAGGCCAGATAAACTCTGGGGTTTTCCGGTATTAAGACCCGACTGCAGCGGTAACTTTTGAATATTTGTCGCCTCGTACGACTGGCACGCTTACCGCGAAATATTCTGGAACTCCTACTCCAAGGGTAGAGATAAGATAATAAATCAACCAACCGCCCGTTATTTTTATATGAAAACATAAGTACTTACATACTCGTATGTATATGCATAGGGGTTGGGAGGTGATCCAAATTAAATATTACTCAATTCGCGAAAGTTTTAAAGTATTCTGCATATTTAACATTATGTATGAGTATACAAATTGAAAACGTGCAAGAAATATTACGTCTAAGTGAACCGAGCATTGGATACTTTGGTGATAAGTTTTGTTCTATAAAAGATTGGTCTATTTTTGGACCTATGTACGTACATACAAATGTATATCAGGAAATTGCCAAACTAAAACTTACACAAATTCACAACGTGTATGTGAAATTAAGTCAGTAGCTGAGCTTGTTAAATGAAATGAAGATTAAAAATGAAAGAAAATAAATTAAATAATTCATACACACTTACATTAACCGCTAAACACATTTCGGTATTAAAAACTAAATATAAACACCAAATACTTCACTTTCTGGTAATTACTTCATCTCCTACATCAGAGAAATCCAGTAAAGAGTGAAACTTTAATTTAATGAGCGAGCTACAAAACACAAGTTTCAATTGTAGTTCAGTATGTTGCAAGCGTATTAGCGTTTGTTATTGTTGCAACTACACAAATGGAATATTAAATAATAACGAAAACCACTTTGTAAGCTATACATATGTATGTTTGTATGTACATAAGTGCATATATTCATATGAAAATAAAAAGTTTGCTTAAAGCTGACAAAGACTTTTTGATTCAAATATGAGTATGGAAGAGAATACTTTTGGATTTCTAAACATAAATAACGACTTAATATCAATCTGACCTAATCTAATTGGAATTCAATTCAAGTTTTTGGTATCACCTTCATATGTACATACATATATCGCTACAATGAACAATTTAAGTATTTAATTTGCTTTAACGGTAACCAATTAAAGAGAATAATTACATATAGTTCCTATATTCAGTGCTATATCTTTCTACATATATTTTGAGAAATTTTTTTTTCGTAAATTGGAATATTAAATTAAAAAACTATAGGAAATTTATGTAAATACCCAAAGAAATATTTAATATTTTTTAATTTAGTTTTCTATTTATTAAAAAGGGTATATCTATTTTTTTATTATTTAAACAATTTATGAATTGCTTATACATAGGTTTGAGTTTTGATAAATATGTAAACGTTTCAATATAACATACGCCACTCTGATTAGGCCACTTTAAAATGCGTCACAGCAAGCAACAATTTTGGAAAAGGCACAAAACTGAAATAGAGATGCTAAAATAGAGCAACAGCAAGGACCAATACACTAAGCTTTTTTCAGCTTCAGTCGTCACAAAATATGTACATCACAGCATCATATTCATGAGTTGAAATACCAACTGCTACACTATTCATGCTCAGTTACTCCCTTGCCCTTGTTTAAGCAACCCCACCCTTGGAACTGCTTCTCTCCCGCAACATAAAGAAAAACAGTGTAAATTTTGCAGGCAAACTGGGTCAAAGCAACGTGTGCATTGTAGACGCAATAGCAGCCGCAACGCGTCAGTCGCTTGCCCCAGTGATTCAAGGACGAATTAAGTTAAGGACGTTCATACTTAACTGCATTTTGTTTTTACTTGAATGAACTAATGCTTTGCACATATGTATGTACCTATATTAATGGGATATACATATGTATATATAATATATATCGATGTATGAGTTTGTTGGCATGCTGCATCAGCGGAAACATCATCGGTATAATATGTTTACAACAATCAAAATAAATATACGCCTTGCACCACCCATTTTAAAACATCAATAGATATCATTAAAACACGTACTCACCTGCTGCAAAATGCAGTGGTGTCGATTTTCGTCCAGCAGTGTCGCGCGCATTGACAGTTTGTGCGGTAATTAATTTTTTTACTTTTGCAATGTCACCAGTTTTACATGCTTCGAAGAGCTCTCGCAATGGATCGTTGGCCATTGCTGCGTCGAGATTCACATTGAGTATTGCGCGACTGCGACTCGACATACTGGAACAGCCGCAATTGGTTGGCGTTTACACAGCGTTATGATTATATTATTTTAAGGCCTTTAGTCTTTACTTTTTCTTTTGGTTTTGTGTCACTTATTCATGCAATTTGAAAATATTTGTTTGTTAAATTCCGTGTTTACAAAACTTCTCTAAAAGCTGTACCGAATTAAAAAAAAAAATCCCAACTGTTTGTCCTTGCAAAAGTCTATGAAGAAAAACCACTGTATTTACAGCTCCACACCATAACTCAGTAGTTACAGACTTCCAGACAATCACAAACCTCATCCAGTCTTTTTTATTACTTTCTTTACCGTTCACAATCTTATGTGCACTTTCGCCAATCACACACTGAGAAATAACTTTTATTCTGAGCTCATCGCTTTAAAACTTGTCGATATAATCGTTAGGCCAGAGAAAAATAGATTTAACAAAAATTTCGCAACAAAATCAATAATTATTTTATTTTCCCCCAGATTTAAGAAATTACAGAACAAATAAAAGACCAGTGCAGCAAATTAGCAAATGTACTTGGCCGTGTTGAAAAATTCACTGCAGAAAAATGTAAAAGTGCACACAGAAAGACGAAAAATTGAATAATTCGCTGGGTTGCCAGCTGCAACTTTTTATTTATTTATTATTTAGCAGCTGGATTTTGTGGAATATGTTGTCAAGTTGTAAGTTAACAAACTGGTATATATTTGAATAATTTATTAATCACATAACCTGAATAGATAAAAAGCTAACATGAGTTATATTAAGCAATTATTGAGCGGTTTTGAAGTTTTCGTTTTTAACTTTTGAAATTCGCTGAATAGAAATCATTTAAAGAATATCCTACACAGCTGCACGTTTAACATAATAAATTTTAAGTACACAGTTGGTCAGCCGTGCTAGATCATTATCCAGCTGTTAGGCAACCCATGCTAAGTGTGTGCTGTGTGTGGAGTAAACAAAATAATGCAATAAAATGCACGATAAATGTCAATAGCAAAGTAAAAGTGTTAAAAGGGCAAAATGGCGTTTTTTGTTGGTGAGGAATTTTTGGGCAAACTCAATTTTTCCAAAAATGCTTATAGAAAATAAGCTGAACTATTATAAATGAAAACGATTCGGGATATAAGTGAAATAATTGCGACATAGATTGCTTATTGTGCTAAAGAAATTTAATTCAATTAAAAAGGTGTACGTAGTAAAATTTTATTGAACGCCCTCAATAAACATCCCCTTGGCACTCCTCTTCAACAAAAACACACAACAAAACAAGTGTTTTTATGATGCATTATAAGAACTTGTCATATGCAGTTTATACAACACCCAACCTGAAGTCAACAACTAAACAAGTGACGAGGCATTAATTGGTGGAAAGGGAAAATTCTACTAATAAGAATTAGGGAAAGTGAAAATTAATATGTGTATTATCATGAAACCATGAATTCTTTTTATTTAATATAGAATAGGAAAAAATAGTAAAAAGTAAAAAACGCTCAGTGAAGATAAATAATAAATAAATAAATAATGAGACAAATTCGAAAAAGAATGCAGCCCCCTGCTACAAGTTAAGCTGTGTCATGAAACATTGGAGTCAGTTATAAAACTGAAAATTTCATTTCGCTTCACTGGAGCGTTAAGTTTTTACAGAATCATTTCTAAGCTCCCAGTTTTTTGTTTTTTGTTTTTTTTTTTTGTAAAATTATCTAAAACGAGACTGGTGACCAGCTGACAATCCCAATCGTACATCAATGAAACTAAGCAATCTAGAGTGCATATTTGTATTAAAAGTACAATTTAAATTGGTGCATTAAAAGAATTTACTATAGTACAATGGAATTGAAAGTATGGGTAGAGGGCATTCAACGGATTGTATGCGGTGTTACTGTGAATACAACTTGCCAGGTGAGTAAATCAATATTTTAAGTACCTACCTTATGTATGTAGATATTTTGCATAAATTTATGTTTGTTTAAATTTTATTCACTTGCAATCCTAGGCCCAATAACCTAATATTTATATATATATATATATACATACATATATTTATATATATATATATAAATAGATATACAGCTGCGTTCAACTAATTAACAACGACTTGTCCCTATAGATTACATGACCGTTACCTTAAAAATCTTTAGTGTAAAAATGGAATTTTATTTTAAATTCTCTTCGATTAGAGTATGGTGAAATTTAGCTGTCAAAAAATTTTGAAGAAATTCCAAGAAAGAAGAGAGGTCGGAAAACGACTTTTTTGGAGGGCAAGTTGAAATTCTAGCTACGAGCTTTGGAAAAGTTTCAAGGAGAAACATAATCGAAAAAGATGACTTGAACCCAATCGAGAATCTATGGACACACGTGAAGAAAAGAGTTCGTTCCCATAAAGTTGAAAATTTCGAGGATTTTTGTGAAAAAGTTATACAAGAACAGAATCGCATTTCAAAAGACATTTCCAAAAGTTTAGTGGAGTCAATATCTTGTAAGTGTCAAGCCGTAATTGACAGTAAAGGGCTCGCAACGTAATATTAATTCAAAAAGTAAAATAACCGCATTTTTCCAAAAAACAAAGACAGCGTTGTTAATTAGTTGCACGACCTAGTTTTGACTATGAAGTCGTAGAGCGACTTTATTTTATAAAAGCTCTCTTATAACAAAGAAAAAATTAGCTTGCTTACAATAAAAAGTATTCACAATTTATCTTTAAGACATATAGTAAAAATGTTTTCTTTAGAAATCAAAATATCAACCAATTTGGACTCTTCCCACCAGCGTTATTAACTAGTCCCACGCATATGTATATACATATGTATATATAAATAAATAAATAAATAAATACATACATATATATTATATTTCCATACACAAATATTAATATTTTTAATGATCGTAAAATATATTCTGTTTGATTTACTCCAGGATGTGGTGTTTGCGCTGGCGCACGCTACTGGTAAAGTGGGCCGCTTTACACTTATAGAACGTTGGCGCAATAATGAGCGGTTGTTAGCACCAAATGAAAATCCGCTGAAATTATTATTAGAATGGGGTGAATATGCCAATGATGTGCAATTTATTTTGCAGCGATCAGAGAATAAGCAACAGCAGTCAACACTACACCAGACACAGCGCCTAGATAATTCTTTTGGGAGCAATAATAATAATAATAACAATAACAACAACAACAATAGCAGTAATACTAATAATGCAGCTGTGATGTTGAGAAAGCCTCTAGGCTTAAGCAATAACAATAGCAATAGTCATAATATTAATAGCAACAACAACAACTCAAATAGTAGCAACTACAATCAACAGCAAACTAAATCAGCACACTTAACCAACGTGGACTCAAATTTGAATATATCACCACACCTTGATAAATCACGCGAATTAAAGAAAAAAAGCTTTGGGTGAGTCCACACTAACCAAAAAATAATAATCACAAATATATAAATAAACAAAAATATTTTATAACATAAATTTTTAGTGCTCATGATGCCAAGCATATTGAAAACATTGGTATTGTAAAAGGAATTCAACAACGCATTGCTAGTAGCAATACAGACAACAACAACTGCAGCATCAATAATAATTTGGGCAAACAACAAACACATGTGCCACATCAAGATTCTACACCTTCCCTCACCGGCTCACCACTTTCGCCACATCTTATGAGTATCACAAGCTCACCTATATCATCAAATGAAAACAGCACTTCTACGTCATTACCTAAAATCATACCGCATCACGAGAAGTCTCATTCAAATCCTACTGAAATGTCAAGAAATCATTCGCATGCTTTTTCCGATGGTTCTGGCTTTATCAATGGCTCGCCGCAAGTAAGCAATGATGGGAATAATAATAACAACATTTACAATCAGCTTGGTGCTCAGAATAGCAAGTCAATCAATGAAATTAATTTGGCTGTTGTGCGTGAATCGTTAGATCGACGCATTGTCGCCGACAGTCCGGATGTATTGTACGCCACTCCTCATAGTAATAAATTTAATAATGGTGTTAGCAACATCAACAGTAATAATAACAACAACAACAACCAAAATAGCAACAACAGCTGTAGCAGTAGTAGCAGTGAAAATCTTCTTGACATATACAATGGTAATGTGCAGCGCAGTGGAGGTGATATGCCACCAGATTTATTGTATAAAAATGCGCCAACTATATCAGCGAATGGTGCACTAGTGCCACCACCATATCGCGATCCGCCTCCACCGCGGAATAGCCCATTACAACAATTGCAACAGCAGCACCAATTCCATACACAACAAATTTCCGGCGCACCTCTGAATAATTATATGCAAGATTATGCTAATCCTGGTGATTATGATGTAGACCTGCAGCGTTTAGGTGGTATTGGTAGTGGTGGTAGTGCCGGCAGTATTGAGGAGAGCGAGAGCATATTTCAAGCAACACAATATAATGATTTATTACAATTGATTAAATTTCAACGAGAAAAAATTTCAGCACAACAATTAGAATTGACTAAAGTAAGTATATTTTCGATAATTATGTTATATTCAGAGTAAAAAAATTGTTTTATTTTTTTCCTAGTATGATGCTGAGATTGTTTATCTAGAAAATAAAGAACGCGATCAGGCGCAGGAGCTTGAAGCGATTTCACGTGAAATCACCAAAGCAGATCAAATATTTCGGCAAGGCAGCGAGCAGGTGAGTGTGTAGAACTATACGGAAATAAATTGCGAAATATGCCTTTATAAGGGGAAAAGGGCTGGATTTTATGTTAATAATAAAACTTTTAACGATGCAAATGCCTTGTCTATAGTTAACTTAAACACGTCTACTTACAGCTGCAAACACTGCAATACGTGGAGGAAGAGAATGAACTTGTTAAGCAGCAGGAGAAGACACTAAAATCGGAGATTGCTTTATTGCGCTCCAAATTGGCTAATTGCGAAACTGAGTTATTACAATGCAAGAACAAAATACGGTTACTAATGAACGATATTGAGGTGGAGCAGCGTAGCAGTACTACTAAACAGAAGGCGAATAGGTAGGTTTTCGATAAAAAAAGAAAACAAATAAAAAAAAATTATGATTATAAAAAAGAAGATTTCATAAATGATGCAAATAAAATTTAACCAAATCAGCTACAAAACAAATTATTTGCTACATCATCAAAGAGATAATTATTATAAATTATATATATATATATGTATAACATAGAATAAAAAATAATAATAGTAATTTTTCTTCAATTTCTATTTCTAGACAAAACGTAGAGCGTGATTTTCTTATGGAAATGGAACGTATACAAAGTGAAATCGATCAAGCCATACACAACACTGATACATCTAATAAGACAGCAGAAAATTTGAAAAAGGAAATTTTATTAATCGAAAATGCGATAACAGAGAAGAAACGACAGGTTTGCTTTAAACTAATCACTGATTTAAATGATAGAAAAATAAATAAAATAAATTTTATTTTCATTAAACAGGTTGAACAATTGGTCAATGAAATGAAGGAAGTAAATTTGCAAAGTCTCACTGTAACTACATCCGATGAGATTAAACATTTTCTAGAAGGTGATTGGAATAAAGAAGCAATTATTTGTATTTAACAAAAATTTCTCCATTTAAGGTTCAAATAAACCTGGCAGCAGTCGCCGTATAATCGGTTCACCAAGACAGCTGGAAAATGCTGTGCCAACTAGTAAGAATCCGCATGGCGTTTGGGTGTAATGTTAGAGCCATAGTTTTTAATAAATAAAAATGAAAACACTATGATAAATTAAAAAAAGAAAACACCAAGACATAATTTGTATTTCAGATATTTCACTTTGAAACTGAAACAATTTTTATTCCATTTAGCAACATGTACACATATTATTATAAACATATCCTTCAATCAAGAACAAACAAATATACATATGTGCAGTAGAAAGACATACTTATTGCTTAATTTAAAGCAATTATGTAATATAAAATTGAAAATATGTACTTAATCATTAGAAAAAGTTGAAGTTTTTGTAAAAAATATTTTAATTAAAAAACAAACACACATACAGATCTCTATTAAAATTTTAAATGTTATAGAGCGACTTATGGAAGAATTAATATATAGTAAACTTCAAAAATCTTTCTTTGAAGTAGATATAAAAAGAGTTAAAATGTGTTAAATATAGTAAAGCATTCCAATATATCGTACTTTACACGTATTGTTTACATAGATGGTGTATATTTATAAACATTTTGTTTATACTTAAATATAAATAAATATATTTTGTTTGTCTATTTTATCTATTTTATGCAATTTAACAAATATTAAAATTAATCAAAACACTCGAGAGTGCGAACTTACCACCAACAAAGGAACAAAATAATTAGAATAATAGAAGCAATTGTCTACTAACTATAATGAATAATATTATATATGATATAATTGCAATATATGCCCTCTGCATCTTTGTATATTGTATTAAATATTTTTTTATATATATGTAAAGTTTTAAAAATTTATTTTTATCGTTATAAAATTTTAAGCACCTCTAGTACTACGTATGTGTAGTTAATTCAGTAAAAAGGAATAGAGTAAAATTTACTTGCTTCTAAATTAGTACCATATAAAAATTATGTATGTGATGTTATATTTTTAGAAATGACTAATTACCTTCTATTTCTATTTTTGTGATGATAAAAATATATATATTTGTTCACATTGTATACAAATTTTATGGTGAATCTGTTTTAGAATTTTAATACATTTTTTTGATCCACCTGAATATACGATATAGCAAGAGATTTTTTTTTGCGAAATTCGTATTGCCAACTTTTAGATACTTGATTAAAAAACACATTCCTTCATTTGATATAAATATTGCATTGGGCATAACATATGTATATATCATAAGCAGTTATGACATTTTTTTTTTTATTTAGAAAATTGATGCTTTATCTAGTCTGTAGTCGATTTTTTTTTACTTATATGTAATTTCATATTTCATTTAAGCAAGTTTCACGACACCCTAGCACAGCACTTCATCGCTGCATTGTTCTTACTTTAATCTGAATTACGCTTAATGTATCTGTTCATTATTGCCATTAGGAAAATGTCACAAATATTTTTATTTTTCCTTAAAGCTAGTAATATTTGATAAACAAGAAGAAAAATTTTTTTTTAATCTTTAATTATTGCTATACAAATATGTACATTTAGAAACTCATACACATACACTGCATATATATAATATAACAGTTGCAATAATTGTCGAAACGCCTTTTAGTTCTTAAGTAGATTTGTAGTATTAGTCGCCTTTTAATGTAGCAATAATCGTTTCAAACAACATTAAAAAAGTAATAATTTAAATTTCGTATATGTAAATGTATTAGTGGTATACAAGAATTTAATAGCCCACTTGATGGCCAGATAAGCCAAACTGTTATAATTACTCAAAACTCAAAACAAATTAAAGTTGTTAATTCAATAACTGTTGGCTCTTTTTTTAAAAAGGCGATTTTTAACATGTCATACATCTAATAGTGGAAATGAAATCACTTTTATACAAATATAAATACGTTAATCTCTTTTTTTTTTTAACAAGATAATACGTATACACCACACATATGCACATATCGTAAGACTTAATATTATCTTTATAGTGGTAATTATTTTTGATCAAACAAATGAGAAAATTAAAGCACTTTTACATACAAATTATCTATAAATATCAAACTGATTCTGGATTTGCTGTTAATTATTATACTATTTCTGCATATTTCTAAAGAGATAACCATAACTATATTGAAAGTAATTCTAGTAATTCCAAGCAACAGCGAACACCAAGGAACACAATATCTAAAATGTTTAACAACGATCAAACAAAAAACAGCAACAAATAATTAATATTATACTATCAACTGTAAACAACGCAAATCGCTTATTTGCAAAGAAACAAGCTCAACATTTAGCAAATAAATACAAATATTAAAAATGTTTCAATTCTTAAAACGAAATAATGTGTTTTATTAATAAAAAAAATATATTATTAATATTTTGTTACATTGCCTTGCAACATTGGTTCAACAGATTTCATTGTTGCTCAAATAATTTTATTCAAATCTGTCTCACCTCGCCCCAATTCCATTTCTTTGTATTAACTCCACAGTGGTAACAACATCTATATATAGCGATTTTGGGCCGAGCTCCTCCTCCAATTTGTGGTTTAGGGTCTTAAGCTTTTTTTGGTCAGTTTACACTTAGCCGCCGCCGAACGGCTGATGGTCTTTTCTGGAAGGTTAACATCTTAATCTGAATTATTTGAATGGCTTTGAGATCAGTAGACAACGATATAGTAACCAATTAGTTTTTCGGCGCAAGAAGAAACCACAAAGACAATTTGCCAACACGCGAAAGGGCAACGTTGACGGACTACGCAGAATTCAAATATTTCCGGGCATTTTGCCGTCTCATAGAACGAATTAAATAAATGAAAACCCGCCTAAAGTTTAAGAAACTCATTTCAGGAAAGAAAAGTTCAATCAAACCGAACTATAAATACGATTTTTCCGAACTTGTCGGTGTCGGGTCGACTACTCGAAAATAATGTCAGGCAAGTGTTACTCAGCGCGATAACCTACCAAGCCATTAAATTTCATGTGAATCAAATCATATATAAGGGTTTCTCTCATAAGCCGGTTCCTGGCACATCATCCGGAATAAATTTGAATTTTCTTTCTATTCTTTGAAATGACAATTGTCAAATACACATCATATATGCGCACATAAATGCAAGGAAGCCGATCCCGTTTACGTACGGACACGTCTTCTCATAAAATTTCGGCTTCAGTCAGCGTCTAACGAGTTATAAACTTAACCAAGTAAATCTAGTAGGGTGATACCGAAAAAAAATTTAAAATATTTATGTATTAATCCAAGCCCTAAATGAGATTTTTTCGAATAAATTGGTCCTTGCTTCACCTTCCGGAAACAGATGTGGTGTTTCTGCTAAAATAAACAGAATGCTTTGTACCAAATTTCAAAAAAATTGTACCATAAATACTATTTTTTCGAACAGGTCAGCCCCTAGTTCACTTTCCTGTATGAAAATTAGATTGGACAATTCTCATATCTGCCTAATATACACACTAAACTTTATAAAAATCGGTCCCGTCGTTTAGGAGGATTTTGGTTTCAAACACTGAGCTTTTGACAAGATTTTGACAGAAATTATTATTTTTTTTAATGTTTCTTTGAATTTTACGCAAAAATTGCTTAACGTTAATTACAATACTTAACCCGCGTCGTGGTCAAACATAAGCTACATCCGGCTTAAACAAATTCTGGCCAAGCTTTTCCTTGATATTTTATTATATATTATTATTTTTTTTTTTTATATTATTTTTTACGAACGCTTAGACCAACAGTTGTAAGTCGCCTCCAGATGGATTTATGCTATCCCTTGAGAATGAGCCACACCATTATGAAAAAATTTATTAAACTTTCGATCTTCCATTACCCTCTGTGAAGTAGCTCGTACTGCTACTAGTGCGGCCGCTCTCAAGACAATACTTTGGTTTAAAAGAAAGAAATTAAATTATTTATTTTTTTACAGTTTTCAATTTCCCCATAAGATAGATTAGTATGTTCGATGTTAAGAATTTCTCGAAAGGAATTTATCTCTCGAAGACTTGCTTATCGGTTTTTGGCAATGTCCACACTTATGCACCGCATAGTAGGACGAGAATAATGAACGACCTTTTATGACTATCAACAGGATATATTACATTCCCTCTTGTCTTTGTACACTACTAGTGCCATTCAGATGATCGAATACCATCAGTATCTGTTAACAGTTGTACGCTCTTATAGATAGAAGATTGTGCCTACTCCATTTGACTCTGAATATCATACTATTTTCTCTTACATTAAATTGAAGTAGTCACATGGTAAAAAGTGACTTTGTACAAAATTCATTTAGTATCGAATCCCGATCCTGACGGATCTTTAGTACAGGGTCATAAAAGTCTTTCGAAGAAAGCAGAAAAGGTGGTTTGATCGATTTTTCTCATGGGATATTTCCAAGACTTGACGCACCGTAAATGTCTGGTACAAAACTACGTTGATGAGGCCAGTCAGTTCGAGCTAACTGAGATATTGAAGAGATTTGTTGAATGATGATTAGCGAATATCTTAGGTATCGGATAATCCACACTTAGGTGCTCAATCAGACATGCTTTCGTCCAACAATTTAGCCGCTTTGTTATCTTCAAGCGAGCGATCGCTATTCTTAGTTCATCCTAGTCTTTTGTCGGAACGTCTTTTCCATCATTACCAATTGGAAATTTGAATTCTCCACTTTCGGATTTTGCATTTTCACTCAATACTTAGAACATCGGTCATATCATTACCTCCTTGGTTTCTACATAAGTCAAATCTTTTCGTGGAATTTTCGAACATTATCCCTATCATCCAGCCTCTAAAGCATTTGGACTTCTTGATTTCAACTATTTCACAATTATCACACATACTCCACCAGCGAATAAACTTGACGACCCCATTTCATCCTAGGTTGATATCTTAACTTTTATTACTACTGCAGCAATTCATCTAACTCCGCATACTCAACAACCAAAAGGAATTCATTCAAAACAATCAGTTATATTGCTTTCATCCCATACCCCAACATATGAAAATAATTATCATTATTTTAGCTTTGCGAAAATAAACACTTAATTACTAGCGCCATAAAGACCAACATTAGATACGTTGAGCATCTTCAGCAATGAAATCTTCAACATCATCACGAACTTACCAATGGTAAATCGGGCACTTGTCCCTGCCCCCGCTCACACTACGAAGGCTGACTATTTTCATTAACATTGTGTGCGCTTCTTGGTCA